TGTTACTATTCTGATACTCTGTTCAGGAAATTTGACCCTTCGTATTGTTGTCCCATTGCCCTTTTTCTGCCATAGTATTCAGTAAAATCATGTCATGCTCCAAAAGAATCTCTCAAATTAGAAACACTGCCCTAGGACAATTCTTGTATTGGTTTGGAAAGAAGAAAGTTACTCTTTCTTCAGTACCAGTACATTTTCCCATCCTATTTTCAGCCTCCAAATAATGGCTTCCCCTAAAAAGTCATGGAATAGAACATGCTTAGAAACCATTTTTAGGGTTTCCATCAATGCTTTTTTGTTGCTATAGGAGATCTTTGATTCCAAAGGTTATGAGAACATTTACTTGTGGACAAGGTAAATTCTTACACATAAAGTAGAGCAAATGTACATGGGAAACAGCAACTTCCTCTTGCTTGGAAGAGATTACTTCAGATCCATATTGGGAAAACCTTTCATTATTCTATACCATCATCATATTAAGTGAGGTGAATAAATAGAAGCTTTGAAACTTGGCTTCTGAGTTACAAATAGGAAAAAATGATACACAGATTATTGAGTTTGAAAAACGTTAAGTCTTTTGAGTGATAGAGATAACACAGTTTAGTAAACATGGTTTAGTTTAAAGATTATGTGGGTAATTTACAATTTAGGGGGCTAACCGACCAAAATAAGTATGTATGAAATATCACTACACATACTAAAAGCTTCATAGTGCAGACACAACCTCTTAAACATAGAAGGGTCTTAAATATTTTTTTAATGAACATTTGCTGAGTCAACACAGTGACTCATTCACTGACTGACTAGGGAATGTAGTGTTACCCAACATGGCTTAAGTATGGACATCATGTAGGGGAGCAAAGAATGGTACGTTTATTAGATTTGCTCAGCTCCTACTACATGTCATGCCTGACACATGTTCTCTTTTTTAATGCTCTTGAGAAATTTATAAGAGCAGATATTATCAGCCTGTTTTACAGATTAGAAAACCGGTTCAGAGAAATTAACTGATTTGAATAAACTCCAAAAATGAAGAAATGCCTGTGCAGTCCTCTGTACCAACACAGCCTGGATTCTTTCCACTTCAACATACCTGTTGCTTGACTGGAGTAACTTGAGGTCCTTGACAGAGATTTCTTTACCTGTCCCCCAAAATAATCTTCTTCACAGGCTTACTGTAGTACCTGAACATATCCCATTTGTGATTAGTTCCCTTGAATTAAGGTGTTGCCTCTGTTTAAATGCGTTGAGCACAAAATATGATGAATGCATTGTGACAATTTAAGATTAGTTTCCAACAAGACCAATAACAGAGAGCCCAGCATGATTCAGAGCTGGACCCAAATGGGACTTAGTTTCAAGGTAGGATGCAAGGAGACCCATAGTGGCAGTGGTAGAGGAGAGGGTGAGTGAGTATTGGGAGTTACCTGGGTACTGAGAAAGTAGTATAAAGACCTTGGGAAATTGATCACCAATGGGCAGAGAATGTTTTAAAGAGGAGGTAGGAAAATAAAGATTTCCTGTTTTCAGTTTAGCCTAGGGCTCTGCCAAACTGTGTTGAATTACTAGAGTAAACCTTGTGTAAACGAGAGAGTTTTGTTGTTGTTCTTAGAGAGCTCTTTTTAGGGGGGAGTGGGGATCGTGAGAAGTGAGTGTACATATGTTAGCAAGGATGGCTCTGGGTTTGATAAACATTTGTTCTGGCAACATACAAGGTAGCTTTTCTTATTCTCATACATTCACAAGGACCTTAAATTTTCTGTGTGGGAGGAATATATACGAAAGGAATTTTATAAAATTGAATAAGACAAACTGCTCATACTAGTAGGCAGTTAAATTAGCAATTTATACAATCTAAAACACTTTGAAATTAAGAGAGAATGGGGAATTTAGGAATAATTATTTAAGTTAAATAATACTAATCACATAAACTGTGTTGCCAGAAGAGGCCATATAAGCAAACGGTATAAATGAGGTTATCTGGAAAATGTTAGATTTTCAGAAATGACTCTTAGAAATGGTAGTGGGAAATAAACATATAAAGGAATGGGCTGCTGAAAATAGAACCATCTTTTCCTTATGACAGCCCATTAATATCCCAGCTATTGAAAGGACAGACATCAGGAAATGATGCACCTTTCAAAGCAGAGGAGAGAAAGTAAAGCTTCTTTTTAACAATGGAAGATTCTCTTTTCAATGGAAGATACTGCTGCGTTTGCTAAGTGTCTTATCCATGGGACCACTCATGGCTAATGAGGTCAGTCTGATAACTACAGATGTTCTTCCCATTTCATCATGCATTACTCAAGCCAGTAAGTAGTGTTTGCTTGTTAATTTTGACTATAGCTAGTTTCTGTGGATCCCATTTTTCCTGTCTTATCACAGATTCTTCGTAGTCCAAGCAAGACACTCTTGGCTCAGTATCCTCTCACGGACTGCTGTCAATATTTCATGTTGGCTCTAAAAGTTTGTACCATGAGAGGCAAAATTTCAGGCACCACGCATTGAATATCTAACAATATAGCCTCATAGCCATGGTGGGGCCTGGCGGGTGTTCCCCCAGAGTGTTTGTGTGGTGTGCATCATGACTGGCTCATCTGCGATTCAGGTATATTTAAATAATGTTCCGCCAGAGTTTCTTACTGAAACATCCTTCAGAGACATGTGCCACCTATTTTATGAACATTAGCTTTTTGCCATTACCAGCAAAGCAAAGCATGCAGCCATACTGCAGCCAACCAGCCAATGATAAGTGTGTCTTTCTGTTTTATGTTGTAGTCTCCAAACATTCAGTTTTATATTGATGTGGGTTTCCTTGCTTTTGATTCCTTTATTTAGTGAAGATAGTGTAGCAGAGGAATGGGGGTGTATGTGTATGCCTGAGAATGCCATATCAAAATTTTTACTTTCAAACTTTATAGGTTATATAAATCTGCTCATCATATAAGTGATATATTGAATACATGTGAGCTAGCATGATTTTTTAATTATCTGTGATATTTGCTTATGTGGCTAGATTCTAAAAATGTTAATTTTATAATTAATTTCCAACACATTGTTTGGCAACAATAAATAGTTTTGGTTGTAAATCACCCAAGGCCTTAGATCGCTGAACTGCCTCAATGTGTCTTCCAAGTTAGTTTTAGAAGTTATTTAATTTCTATTTTCTTTCTCCTCAATTTGGTTTCTATCCAGGAATCTACAGAAATCATTTTGATAAAAACTTGATATTTATTCTGCTGTCCTCTGTATTAGCCTTGAACCATATTTTCTGTCACTTTTTCACTGGTTCTCCTGTTTTCTTTCAGATGTCCTTTTGTCTACTGGTATGTCACATTGGTGTATGGCTTCAGGCTTGGGTTTCATCATTTTCCCTTGTAAATATATTTCTCATTCCTTTTGCAATCTCTGTTATATGAAATATGCTACCGCCCATCTTGTTGCTCCATGCTTCTCAGACTCTGGCTAATCACCTCCTGGGACCTCAAGTAATATTTCACAGAGTCCTTTGTTGACTGTTAATTCTTAAGCTGTGTCCTTCAGGGATGGGCGAGGAGGAGGATACCTTATTTGTTCCATTAAGTTTGGGAAACAACACATCCCCATCACATATTAGGTGCTCAATAAGTACTTTTTGAATGAACAAAAGAGTTACTGAATGAACATGTTTATAATATAACATACCATGTACTTTGAGGAGTTCTATAGTAAAGAAATCTTTAACTTTATTTAACTCAGCATTTTCCAAATTTGTTTTCCAACAAAATTATCTCTGGTGCAACATCTACATGTATTCCATGGAATTAGTGTTGCACAAAACACACTTGTGAAACCCCAGCCTAAAGGATACAACTACTCCTCCCTCCCTTAAACCTGAGCTATAATATAGGACACACTGAGCTTCATCAATTCCCTCTCTCCTTGGCTGCCCCATATGTAGGCCAGTTTCCTTATTCCAGTTGCTAACACCCTCAAAACTCTTTCGTGGCTCAAATATGGAATAACCTTTTTTATCCATTAGACTCTCTTTCTTTTTAATCATACACTAATTCATATCATTTTTTTTCACCTGCTGTCTTCCAGATGTGTTTTGAGAAACAAGATGACTAATAATGTCTGTTATATGGACTTTTATCCTTGGGCATTTATTTATGAGGTTATAGGTTGAACTTACTATTTTAAGTAATTTTTATTAAAATCTCTCAAAAAGACAGTTGTGAGGAATGCATTCCACCCTGGCATGCATTTTCAGCCATGACATTTTCTTCAATGGCACATGAATCAACATGAATGTCCGAAGTTGACTTGTTTCATGTTAACCTTATTGCCTGCCTTTTGACTACCTCTGTGAGTCAACTGCAAGGACTGTAGCCTCTTGACTATAGCAGAAATAAGCCAAGGTGCCCAGAACATTTCTTTTGCTTACCATCAATCTTAGTGACATTTAAAACTTTTCTCAAATCTAGTCTTTTCCTGGTTGATCTGAAAAGAAAGATTTGGCCATTCCTATAGGTCTATCTTAGGTTTGTGTTTAGACATGGAGGCTATGGTGAGGGGTATATATTTAGGTCCAGAAAGTGCCTGTTCCAATTGTGTCTTTAAACATTGCCCAATGTAGTACTGGGGTTTTGTGGCAATGCCTCTGGAGCCGTACTGGCAGACAGAGGTGGGGAGGAAGGGAGTTTGAGAGGATGGGCAGCAGGAGAGAGGTTCTGTTTCTGTTTCACATATGGGTTATTGGTTGGAAAGGAGTTGGGGGTGGAGGTCCCATTGCTAATAACAGATTGGAAATGATTATGACAATCAGAATATTTCTAAAGATAGAAACAGGTTCTGGTGAAGTTTCTAAGAGATTTGGAAACAGGAAAAAGCATTCTGTAAAATGGACAGTAAAATTTCTTTAGGAAAAATGGTGAAATTATTAAATGGGAAATCTGACATACACAGATTACTGTTTTTCTTCTGACCCTTTCTTTTCTCTCTCTCACTCCTTACCTCAGGACCTTTTCTCATCTCATTAGCACCTCCACCAGAGTTGGAACTGGGAAAGAGAAAGGAAGTGTTCAGACATGTGCCTATTTGCATAGTCACGTCACTGAGTTAATGCCAGGACAGCACAAACGCTTTGTCCAGTTCTATAGAAAAGCCAGTTCTCACCCCATCAGTAAGGTATTATTTTCTTTTTTTATTAGCATAGAGCAGCTTATGTTGCCAGGCTTCTCTTAACTGTACATTATAGTGTCTGATTAAGAATGTTCTGGATGGGTTAATCAGTGTGGTGACTATTATTAAGCAAACTGCTTGTTAGTATTATGCCTATTTGATCTTGGTATTGATGTGAAGTAATTGACCATAGAGCTACATTTAGAAAAGCTGAAATAAAGTTTTTTTGATTTCTATTATGGCAATAAATTGTTTATATTAAACGTGTCTATGAAAATATGAGTTTCATGGCCCAGAGAATCAGAATAGACTGTGTGGGATGGTGGATGTGGTTTGTTGTTTTTTTTTTTTTTAATTATTAATACATTTGTCCAGCCTATTTCAAGACTAGCTTTATTGTAACAAAGTAGCACAAAAATATTTCAGCTTTTGCCTTCATTCTTACCGCAGAGTATATGAAAACTAAAGTGTTTTTCACTTTCCCCGACTAAAGGAAATATCCGATAGATTTGGCTAATTGCCAAAATACTTCTTTTGGTGATGATCACTATAAAGAATAGATTATAAGAAAAATATGAAAAGATGTTATAAACAAGGGAAACCTAGCTTGTAACTACCTTCTTTCAAGTACTGGGTTGTTACCTATATATTTATTGTATCTTGTCCAGTTCTATTATTAAGTTTCCCTAGCTGTAGCATTTCCATAGGGAATTGATTCCACGAGTTAATAAATTATACTGTGAGGGAGTTTTTCTGGAAATTCAGCTAAAATTTTCCCATTCTTAATTTCATCTCGTTACTCCTAGTTATACCCCCTTGTACCAAGCTAAATAATTATTCTTTTTCCTTGGAGACTTATTATGTACCCTTCTAGTTGTCACTTAACTGGGCTATTCATAGTTAGCTCCTTTAATCTGTGCTCATAAATCAGTTCTTCCATTGCCTTAATTATTATTATTGCTCTTCTAAACACTCTCTAATTTTCAAACGTATATACAGTTCTCAGATGCCCCACATGATATCAGCTTTTGCACAGGGCTCTATCCTGACAAACTTAGTGTCTTCCTTCCCTGTACAATAAGATCCAGAACTAAATGGCATCAGTTTGCTGAATCAAATCAGCTCTTGCTCATCTTGTCAAATTCAGGATGGTCTAAATGGTGTATTCCATGTGCCCTACTTGCATTCAAGGTTTATTTTGATTTTTTTCAATTTCATGAAATGTGTAATCTGTTTTAGTTACTGCCCTTGTTTATATTCTGCATCTTTCCATGTCCCTATTCACTACCACCTATCAAGTCAGTCATCTGTAACCTGTGTTAACATGGGATTCTTTTCATCCTTGAGAACATTTATGGAACGTGTTGAATAAAAGCAGGCCTCGAACCTTGCCCACAGCTAAATTCCTTGTCAGTTACCAATTCCCATTGTTTACAACCTTTTAGCCAATCTCTCATCTCTTTTAATTTGCAGTTTTGCTCACATGCTGGCCAATATAAATTAATTTTATGAGTAAGATGGATCATGATACTGTTTTCTAAAATGAAGATATGTTGTTTGAATTCCATTTATTTATTTATTTATGAATCCTTCATCCTCTAAGTTTGTAATTCTGTTCAAATCCTTTTTAAGCTTTCCTGGCACTCTTTTTCTGACATAAATGAATAGGTTACTTCACTTGCTTTGTTTTCCAGATATGTACAGATGTTCCTTCTCTTACCGTGTGTTTCATTTCTTTAGGAGAATTGAAGATATTCTCATAGTAATTCTATTTTTTTTTTTTTTACCTTTTGTGGTGATTAATGGCAATTTTTTGTTGTGTTTTAGTTTCTGAATCTCTTCAGTATTTTGAATTTGTTTCAGGAAGAAGTTGACTGGTTCCCACAGTGATTTGGGGTCTATGAGGTCTGAAATTATACACACACAGGTTTCTTTCCATTTTAAATCAAGGATTAAATTTATTATTTTATTAGGGCATATTTAAGGGGTTAGTATCGTTGTGTTTTATCTTTATATATACAATCATTTATTTATTACTTGAGAGTTCTTATGTATTTTTGAGTTTTCTCAAGGTATTTGAAATTAGAATAGAAATTATGTTTGTTTATGAAACAAACATAGAAGCCCCCAGAACAAGCTTTTTGTTTCTGGAATGTGCATAGTGTACCACAGCCAAAGACTTTGTTTCTAGCTCCTATGCTCCTCCACTGTTTCGTAGTGTTGCCCATCAGCCCTTGCTTTCAGGCCTTTGTAGTACCCTCTCCCTGTCTCTATGGTGACTGTCCTGATGCCTCAGTGAGTTTCTGAAAGCCCATCTCCACCTCTGTACACCTCACCTGAAATAGATGACCTGTCCTAATGCTTTAATAATGCAACTCTTTAGATTCTACACCTGCCAGCTAACGGTGTTTTGATTTTTCAGATTCAATTTTTTCTTCTTCCCTCAGCTTTGTAAGACAGCTAGGTTTATTATCTTTTATAAGACCCTGCTTTTCCCCTACACCATGATCACACGTTAAAATGTTTTTCTCCTTCCATCTTATAAGAGCTTTCTGTTTCTTCAGGATCCTGCTTCCTTCCCTAGCAAATATTCCCAAGTAAATACTACTGTGTCCATGTGTCTCATTTTAAAAAGTCCAACCTTGCCTTCCCCTTCCTTCTCTCTACCTCCTTCTCTCTGCCTCTCTCTTTCATACACAAACCCTAATTTCTTGCAGTCTGATTTCTGCCCACACCACTCTTCAAGGATACTGCCCATCGGAGTAGCCAGTGACCTACAGCGTGACAAAGCCAGAAGCTTCTTGTTTCTGCTCTGTTGCACCTCTGCAGTGTTTTATGTCCCATTTTACACATTCTTTGAGGGTTCTTGATTCATTTCAATGGTGTGATATTACCCTCTTGGATTCTCTTTCTAGTCTTCCAGATGTTCTCTTTTGCTCTCCTTCGATAGTTTTTCTTTTTCACCTGCCTCCTAAATCCATTTCTTCCCCTACTCAACAATTCATGGAAGGGGCCAAGTTTCTGGATGGGGCTCAGGAACTCTGAGAAAGCACTTGATAGTCTGGCCCAATCTACCCCTCTAGACCTTACATCCAGACCTGCATCTCAGTCTTTTTGGGTTGCATGTTATTTCCTGAGGAGTTGTATTTCTTCACCCCTTTTTCCTTTGGTCACCTGTTCTCTGACTCCAGAGTTTCCCCAACTCTGTCTTGCAAAATTCTTTACCCAAAACCTTCTTTAAGCCTTTACTGAGGCCCAAGTCTGCATTAACCTCTTCTTCTCCTCCATTAAAAAAAATTAGAATGGCCATTATGTATATAGTATGTTCCAACATAGTTTAGTCGGCTGTTCATGTGTCTGTCTCCCACTCTGCTGTAAACATTGATGGTTTGCTTTCCAATAGGTAGTGAGCTCCTTGAGGATAGGCCCTCTATTTGTATATGTGGCTTACAGGTTTTAAGCTATATTATTTTTTAAGGTTTTACTTTATTTTGATTCTCTTATCAGTAAGTAACAGATATTGAACTCTGTGTGATAAAGTGTTATGGAAAAATAGGAGATAAACGATAATAAAAAGGTATTAAAATATACTTCAGGAAACATTAGCAAAGTAAATTTAATAAAAAATATATTCAGGTGCCCAAGAATACGGAAGAGTTATGAGCAGAAATGACAAGTGTTAATCAAGGAAGTTCCAAACATTTTTGTAGGTCAATGAACAAGTATGGCTTGAAAATAAGCACTGGGCCATGTGGCGATTGGAAAACACAAAATGGAAATCCAGAAGGATGAGCGAGGGAAAAGTGATAAAGCATCTCTCTAATCTTATGTTTTATGGTATATGCAGTGCAAGTTTTATAGCCATGGAAACTCTTTGGAAACCATTCAAAGACAGCCCAGTCCAATTTCAAACTTTTGAACTTCTCTTAGTGGCTACTACTTTTTGCACTTATTCTAGAATTTTTGTTAAAACATCTTTATTTTTTTTCTCAGTTTTATATATAATCATTATGTCCTTACAGGAAGGTAAAGGACAAATTTTACATATTTTTTCCCACTAAAAGTATATTGCATTCTTTTTTTATAACAGATTCATGCCCAAGCACAAAACAACCCATTTAAAGAAGATGCTCAGCCTTACAGGAAATGATGGTGCGGTTCTGTCCACGGCCCTTCCTTTTCAGCCAGAGCAGAGAGATTCAGAGGATTTATTGAAGAATTTTAATTCAGAGTGTGATACACACTCTGGCCTTGATACTGCACAACAAGAATGTTTGGGTAACTCAGGAAGACAGGAGTCAGACTTGAAAAAGTCCAACTCATCAGATAATTCAGGCTCTCATCATGGGGAGAATAAACAATATCTGACTGTTAATCCCAACATTTTGGGTGAAGTTGATAATCAACAAAGACTGCTGCACATTGTCTGGCCTCACAGGTGGTAAGTCAAGGCATGCCAATTTTAGGAAGAGTTGTAGAACTGGTAAAAGAAAATATATTCTGTTGATTAACATACTAATTTGCTGTTCCTATTGCTTTAGAAAAAGGTTATTTTAATGTAGTAGTATTACTAATGGTCTGCCAAGCTGGTACTACTAAATATCTTCATATTAATGGTCATGTGCCTAGACTAAATTGAATTACAGATAATTATTTGCAGTGATTTGCTCAACTAACAATAGTGAGTAGGCACTATACCAAGTCTTGTTCAAAAAGTTTCAAAATAGAATCAGATTCCATTTTAGGCACACACACACACACACACACACACACACACACACGCATGCAGAGTTATCACAAAACTACTTCATATACACACTGATAACGTAGTATTACCATTAAAGCAAGAATAATGTCCATTATTTACTACTTTGACCAGTTTCAACTGAGTGGCTTCATTTTACTTGTCATAATATGTATGTCAGTACATTTGAAACCATTCCCTTCACTCAGACGCCTCTGTATTGTGCTAAGCAAAATACCTTCTATCCAAGTCTTTCCTAAACAGAGGAAAATCAACTGCAGCATATAATCTCACCAAATATAAAGTCAAACGTAACCCTGGCTCTATAAATTAGGATTTAAAGAGGTAAAATGTCCCGATAATCTTCTGGTATTAGGCATGAACATTTTAATCTAGTTTTTATTCCTCCCAGTTAGTTTAATCTGCATGTGGCCTGATTAGAGTTCACTTCCCCTGCAGATTATGGTCTCTATTGCAGAGATGCTAGGCTGATCATTAGGTCCGATTTTCTGAGAGCAACCGTTTGCAGGTGAAGTAATAAGCGCACCACACCGGCCGGGCAAAGCGCCTTTGCCGAGGATTTGCCTTCCAGCACATTAAAACTCCAGAAGCTCTCCCAGTTGATCTGCAGCATCTGGTACCTAAAGAGATTTTCATCTTTGATTCTAAATGTATGAACGTAAAATATAGGGTTTGAAAGTTGATGTGGAATGTGTTTTTGGATTTGTTTGTGCAACTTTACATTTCCAGCATAGCCTTTCTAAGGTGTAGTGACCTGTATTTTTAAATCATATTTTACTTCGAATGTGACAGAGTTCAGTATTCTTTGATGTGGTTTTATAATGCAGTGGGTCTAGATGAGATTAACCTGTTTCAAGGTAAAATAGATGTCACCATTTACTCCCCTCTGAAAACCTTTTTCTTTTATTCCATTAACCTTTGGTTGTCTCTGAAGTACTATTTTATTGCAAGAAAATCAGTTCTAAAAGTTGGTTCCAGTTTATCATGAAAATGTTAAATTAAATACTTTCTAGACTGCTCTTACAAAACAGCAATATGGAGGAAAGAGTGAAAACCCTGTTATTCGATACTTTGCACAAAATAAGACAGTGCCATGTTAATAAAATTAACAATATTAAATTGAATAATTCCCTCTCTTCCTTTGTATATTTTTGCTTTAATTTAATTTAATTGCCCAAAGTTAGTTGCTTAAAGAGTTGCAGCATTATGTTTGTGTGCATTCTTATTGTTAAAGCTAAATTATTTTTAATTTGGAGAAGAGGGAAAAAAGCCGCATCAGCAAGAGTAAATGCCAAAATATAAAAGTAACACATTCATCCTTACGGGTAATATAGTAGAACATTGGAAACTTGGAGGTTGCCAGACACATAGCTAACATTAGGGCTAATTTTGAAAATCTAGCGTGCAGTCAATTTTACTGATGCCTGGGGACATACAAGGTAGAAGCTGACAAGAGAACTAATTTTGTTTGGGTTATTTACTGCTATGCATCATCCGCAGGTTCCCGCCTGACACACAGCTATATGAAGGGGGATATTATCACACACTAAAAATTTATGTTGACATTCGATATTTGTTCAATATGTCAGCAGTATTACTTTCATAATCAAAAGAGTAAGAAAAAGAGAAAAGAAAAGCACTTTATGCTCATATAGATATATCTTTTTAATAACAGTCTATAAGGTTAATATAGTTTACCTTTGAGAGTATACAATGAAAACAAGCAGGGTTAGGAGGGGAAATGACAGAAAGCATCAACCCGAGCTGTTTGTTTGCCATTACCTAAGCGAGCCATGTCAGCTCTCTGGCCCGCGTCTGATAGCTATTTGTTGTACAGAGAGCACAGCATAAAAAAAATATCAAACTCTTAATACTATTGTGTGCCCATAACCATCTGTCACTGCTAGCCTGGAGATGAGAGGAAGATTACGAGGAATAAACACTGAGCCGCCGAGCATTGGTAAAGCCTTCGGGCAAAAAACTCTTGTGGGGACATCAAAGACATTCTAATTCCGAGGCAGTCAAGGATTACAGTGTGTAACCTGTGCTGACAACAGATAAATGACTGGCAATATTGTGCCAGAGCTGTTGGGTCCTGCATGGAGTACTGATGATGATGATGATGATGTTATCTTGCAGAATGGACTCTGCTGGGATAATTTTATGATAAAACACTTTTTTCAAATGCCACTGGGTCTAGGCAGACATTTACTAGCTACAGGGGTGGCAATCAGTTTCTTCAAAATTTACTGTTCTAAGCCCATTAGAGTTCCATCGCAGCAAGACTCTTCAATGAAAATCTAAAACGCCTATATTTTCTTTAGGAGAATTTATGCAAATGTTGTGAGCTGAACTCCTACCCTTTAGTGGTAGATGCTTTATCATCTGATTTATGTAAATTTGCTCATAAAAATACAGTTTATTTTTAATTGGTGAATATGAATTAGAAAATTAAGATTCTGGTTCAGCATTCATCAAACATCCCCAGCTACAAGCACACATTTATTTAGACCCTGATCGTATGGTGGAAATCATATAATTTACCAGTCAATATGAATAGTATTCAGAGGGAAACTATGGTTTCTACTAGAAATGACCAGGGTTATGTTTCTTATTCATCCCTCTTCGTTTGAGCCTCCCCCTTCCTTGTACTTCACATGTTCTTGTCAGTTTTATGAGCGGCTTTAACTCCGTGCTTGAAAAGGGGGTTTTCTTTACAGTAGCCTACAGGAAGGTCCTTAGAAGCAGGAAGTCTGTTAAATTTTCACCTTGGCCATGTATCTTTACCAGAGAGAATGCATTGATGATTGTTTCCCATGTAAACATAAAGGAGAAAGGAATACTGGAGAGGGCAATTGGATTCTTACATCTTGTCATTACCTTGCCTAACAAAACAAAAATAAAACCCTCTTCTTTATCATGAAAAATATGCCCATGAAATCATGCAGTTGCAGTAGCCAACTCTAAAAATGAAGTGATGCTGACCTCATTGTGTTAGTTCCACACTGGGATCATGAATGGTCTAAAATACAGTGTCAGCCTCTAACATATCTCATACTAAGTCAACCAAATGTAGAGCCTACTTGCTAGAATATGTATCAAAATCAAAAGTGACATTTTCTAGAAGACACATTCTGGCTTTAAATCTGTGTTAAAATGTCTGTGCATGAGAACAGGCCCTTAAATGCAATGCTTGCCCCTCTCCTCATTCTTTCTCAAACTGAGCTTGTCAAGGATTATAGTGTGCAACATCTGCTGACAGTAGATAAATAACTGACAGTATTTTAGCAGAGTTGCTGGGTTCTCTGCAGAGTAATTTGTTTTCTCCTTTCCACCCAGTCTTTAATGTTTTGTTATAAACATCTATAGCAAGGGACAGTTAATAGAAATGACTTATAGAGAAAGACCTGTAAAAAAATAGGCTGCAATTGGTACTGCTTGTTTTTTTTTTAACTATTTTCTTTCCAAATATTATACAAAATTGAAATATTAATCCAGGTTCCAATCTTTATGTAAGTGTTCTCTAATAATTATCATAATGGGCATAAAAGACACACTGCTGGAAGGCCCAAAAAAACAAGTTTAGAATACATTGAAAGATCACTCTCTCAAAGCCACAGTTCTCAAACTCTTTGGTCTCAAGACCCCTTCATCATACTCTTAATTATTGGGATACCAAAGAGCTCTTGTTTTTTGGAATTATAACTATCAGTGTTTACTGTATTAGAAGTTAAAACTGAGGAAAAAGTTTTAAAATCTACATTAGAGTGCTTTTAAAATAACAATAAATAACAAAATAATGTATGTTCACGTTAATGTATTTTTATAAAAATTAACTATATTTTCCAAAACAAAGAAAAAAAATCAGTGAGAAGAGCAACATTATGTTTTTAAAAATCTGTAACATCTAAGTAGAAGAGACTTAGATTCTTATATCGGCTTAAATGTTTAATTTGTTACACTATCTTGTTTTAGTAGAAGTTTATGAAGAAATTCTGCCTCACAAAGAGATATAGCTGGAAAAGTTGAGTGTTTTAATGATTTATTCAGATTAATATAGATATTCTTCTTTGATACTATACCAAAACTTGACAAGTAGGAGCTTCTTAAAGGTTTGCTGTAATGTGGAATATGAAACCACATAAAGGATTTCTTCATGCTCTGTTACATGCATTTGAATGGATTTTGTAGCATTATGTACCAGTGATTTGGGAAATATAGGTTTACCAAATTGTGAAGATCTTCCAAATGTTGACACAATTTATTGTACAATTTTTAAAAATATTTATTAATATCACCATTGATCTCATAAATAGACATTTTTGAATAATGAGAAGATGTCAAGCTAACAGCGTAAATAGAATTTTTCCAAAATTCTGATGCTACTTAAAAGCTTATATTTATCATTGCAACAAATATTATCACTTGTTTTTCCTTGAGTGACAAGTTCACATGGTTCATGTTTGAGAAAATGGCTGCCAGATAGCGAAGTCTGATTAACTGTGGTTTGTCTGTCAGTTCTTTGAAATAAATTCACTGTTTCATGAAAAGACAGCTAGTTGCTCACAACTCAAACAAGCATACAAGTATTTTTCCTCAGGACAGCTATCGTGATATACATGTGTATTTCCCATTTTATTACATATTAAAAGATATCTATTGAAGGGTTGAGCTTG